AGGTGTCAGTCCATAGTCAACTGGGGGCAAGAGCCTCATGACAGAAAAGCATGATAGAACTACGGTGGGTGGGAACCAGAGCAAGCTAACAGGGCTAGAGAAGAAACACCAAGGACTAGATATATTTCTCAAGGTCCCACCCTATGATCCACCCAGACAGACCCAGAAATGTACTTTACTAATCTCCTAGGCAGCTGACAAACCAATCAAGTTGCTAATCAAGATTAAGCATCATGGGGATTATGCTTACTTAACCTTGAAGTTGAACACTGAGTGAAATAAATGGCACTGTGTATCTTCCTCCATTAAGACCCCTCATTAGCTCAACATTCAGTGTAAGCAAGGAAATTTCTCAAACAAGAAATGAACTGAAAGCCGACAGATGTACTCAGAATGATGAAGTGCATTCCTGCTTGGTTAACCTTGAAAAAGCCATTGAGTGGGCTTGCTGGGAACTGCATCATGTCTATGAATCATAACCTCTATAAATTATCAGGTTTCAACTCTATTTTTTTTCCCCCTTCGAGAACTCCTGCTCTCGAGTGGTCCATAGCCAATGTTTGCCTGGGTTGACCCAACTGATTTATCAAGATTTTGTGGAGAGAATAGAAACAAAGTTAGAAGGACAGAACCTCTGACACACGTTTACCTGAACACCTCTGTGTGTGTGTAGATGTGTGTGTGGGGTGCTTAAGAATACAAATTTAGCTCACCTGCTTTCCAAGGTTGAGAAAGTGCTCTCTGTAATGAAGTGTTGCCACCACTGCCTTAAGTTATTTTCTCATTGTTGAAACAAAATACTCAACATTCACAAGTTAAAGGAAGATTTATTTTGGCTCACAGTTTGTAGAGGTTTCTGTCAGCAGCCAGCTGGATTCAAAGCAGGGCAGCAAGGTGGAGGAGAACAGTCCATGGCAGAGCAGGCAGGAGGCAGCAAGCAGAAGAACCAACTCGCCTTCCATCTTCCCCTTTTATCCTATCCAGGCTACAAACCTGTGTGGTTTTGCCACCCACACCCAGGTGTGGCTTCCCTTGTCATGGAGAGCATGGGAACAGAATAAGAAAAAGATAGCATATTGCACATAACGCAATTATCAGTTCCAATATAGCATAGTATATGTTTTTCCACAATGCTGTTAAGGAGCAATTTCAATGCCTTCAATAGGAGAAGCATTCCCTACTTCATTTACCTGTGAATTGCTTGGGAGGCTCTAGCCTATTTTTCCCTTTGGCTTATGCTTCCCTTTGGGACTCATTTGCCACCTTGCATTTCAATCTGTTCATCTGGATGCTTCCTTTGAATCCTTTCTCAGTTATCCTTAGGGTATCTTTTGGCTCCTAGGTGTTAGTTTTAGTCCCTGAAGAGGCCTCTCCAAGCAATAGACAGAAAAATATAGACTTTCATTTTGCTTGTGGAACAGTGGTGGTTTTTATCTACATAATTGTTCTTCTTGAAGCAGTCTGCCTTAGAGCTAACAGATGTTTGCATTGAGATCTCCCCTCTAGATGAATAAAGTCTTCCCAGAGGCTAGTGCTTGCTGGAGAAGTTCTTTTGTACACCTATGAAGCATAACTGAGCCCTAAGCAACTACCTTTGATGTATATTTTGTGATTGGGGAAGAAAAGAAAAACTCAAATAACATTGCCTTTAGCCAAACTGTTTCTTGTAGATGAGAATTTTTGTTGATCGAAGGCTTTCTCCATGGTGAGGTTTGCCTTCTCTAATTAAACAAAAGGTTATATAGAGGTTGGTTTTTGTTATATTGCTTTTGAATTGTTTTCTCTATGATAGGTTTGGACATAATATTTCATCAGGAAAATGGACCAAGCAGTAGTCTTACAATCTATCTTGTTTGGGTTGCCTAGGAAAAAAAATTCATCCAAGCATAAAATACTTTGTTCAGACTCAACCTTCAAAAGGTACAAGTCTACAGACCTGCAAAAATTGCAATGTGCTAACTTATTTTTGGATGACATTAGTTTTGCCTCAGTACCTTGGATCCCTATTTTTCAAAAGATCTAAGATCAATTTATCAAGATAGCAGCATTTTTCATAATTGGCTGATATATTATCATCTTTCAATATTGAATATTAACTTTGACTATGAAGTCAGTAAACCATATAATGATTTTGAACAAGGGATAATTTGACTTTTGAGGACCAGTGAAGCTGATAGCAAAGTTTTGAGACAGTGACATATCCTTAGAAAAAAAAATGTAAGGTTAGAATCTAATGAAATGTCTCGAGCCATAGTTCTTAAACTATGACGGCTTGGTCTCTACATTCACCTACATACACATAAGAAAACAAGCCATAAGACACAGTGAGTGGTCAGTTTGATTGGAACTGTTCACCTTCAAAACAGGCAAAAGCCTAATATTTCAGAGTCTCTGGGTCAAGAATTTAACCCTTGGCAAAAGAAAAGCAAACCTTTGTACTTCAAGTCATTGAAACGTGATGAGGATGGAGGCGCTCCTTCTGTCTCTGTCTCTTGTCTCTGTCTCTGTCTTTGGCTCTGTCTCTGTCTTTTGCTCTCACTCCTTCTTTGCAGATTCAGACTACACTATTGATCACTGAGTACTCATTGCTGAAGCCACTACTTGGTGTTCAATAAATTAAGCTTTTATTCCTGAGTCCAACAAAATAACTGACCTCAAAAAGAAGATAAATGAATAGACTGTTCAGAGCTCATGATTAGAATTCACTTCTAGTCATGTTATATTACTATTTTTCAATTCAGTGATTTTCCCATTCTATCCTACCTTCCTCCACAATCTATAACACCTTTTTCCTTGTTCTTGTATCAGCAAAGCCAAGTTATCTTCATTCTTGCTTTCAGAATGGAAAGATTTTTCTAATGCTTTTTCTAATGTTTGTATTGATATTAGTAATTTAATGTAGTTTTCATTTTAGAACAAACTAGGTAACAACTATTTCTGCAAAACTGTATTAAGCTCTTTGTTTCATACAATCATAAATAACATTGACATGTAGCATACATAATTATGTGCTTAACCACTAATTTTGTTTACTAAATCTTTTAAGGTTACATTGTTTCTTTTTATATTATTTTACTTTATGGAATACAGTGTAATAATGTGATATCTCTATAGAACGTATAATGATGAAATTAGTATACAGTCCTCATCATTGATCATTGTGTACTATTTTAAGTAGCTCATTTACACCTGGTTAAGTATTTGAAATATTTGTTAACATATAATTGGACACGTTTATGAAGTATAGTATGATGTTTCAACACGTATAAACAATATGTACTGATCAAGACAATTATTAACATTTCTTTCTCTTTAACAGTTAAACAAATAATATGTATATTGATTTTACACTGAGAAAAATAAAAATGAAGAATGTTTGGTGATGAGTAAAATTGCGTATGGTTTATAATCCACGGCTCAAGTTTCTGTTGCTTCTATAGCAATAGAATTTCTTTAAGGAAAAAAAAAATGTTCTGCCTTGTAAATGGGTAAACAAGTGACCAGATTCCTTCATAAGCTTTGTTGCATTGATCTCACTTAAAAAACAAATATAAAATACTTATCATTAGTGTAGACACTAAAAAAAATTAAGACAATTATTTAACTCTGTATTAATCGAGTGCTTCTTCAGTCAACTTCTAAGAAAACACAAAGTAACTCCCATGGAATCCGTACAAGCAGGATTTATCATCACCTTTACATGGTTGAAAAAGAATCCCTCAAGGCTCCAAAAGAAAGAATCTTTTATAATTTTTATTTGGACTCCTTAGTATGTCCATGACTTCATTTTCCCTGCATTTCTCAGAAAGGACACCATGTCAGGGAACAGAAATAAACTTTTTAAGAGATGATGCAGAATCTCTTTGTTGCTGGAAACTTGAACTGGCAAACTCAGAAGTGTGCCCTTTCCTTAGTTTCCTCTCATTTTCCAAAAGGGATAGAATTTGAGCTTGCTCTACCCAAGCTCTTTCATGCAATGTATTCAATGATGTCTAGGCTGGCGTGTGCCCTCAGTATGCTGAGTGTCTTTTCAGAAAGCCTAACATGAGCTCTGATGAAGTTAACAGAACCCAGACTTTAATTTTGTCACATTTTGATACCATCAGTGATCTCGTAACAAGCAAATACTCCCATGTTGTAACACACTTCTTATTCACAACCACTTAACCACAAAGCCCAAATAACCAATATTCATTCAGAATCACTTAACCGCAAGTACCAAATACCAAATTCTACCAAATGATAATTTATGTTTAGAATGATAATCCAAGATACTTCTATGATTCATTATGGCCACCTTAATTATGTTCATTATAGCTTTAGCAGTTAGGGAATTTAACTGCATCATGAATCTCTGAACAGTTAATTGATTGCTATATATAAGAACTTGAAAGAGTTCAAAATATTACATTAAACTGAGCATTTCATCTAAGGACTATTCCAAATAAAAGCAATTTAATTGAATTTAGTATTACAGCAAATTAGTAAATAGGCTGTAGAAAATGTGTTTATCATTATGCATTTGTTATTATGTTAATGACAATATTCTGCACATTATATCTGCAACCTATTTTGATTTGAGCTTTTATCAAACAATAGGTTCTTCTAAAACTTAGTACATGAGGAAAGTATGTAGCTGTTGCAGAGGAATAATAAGTGATAACTGCTTATACTAATGGATGTTATTCCCAACAAAAATCAAAGGGTCTTCTGATTCCTTTGCCTCATAGAAGATCACGGATATAGTCAAATTGCATTTTAAAATGTGGTTTTCATCTGTACATTAAAGATTTAATCACGGGGTACCCTTTTACTATGAAACTGTCCGTGAGACGTAGTTGTATTTGAAGTAAATCAGGAGCTGGGGATATAGTTCAGTGGCACAAGCACCTGCCTGGCAAATGCAATGTTGTGAGTTCGATCCCCAATACCATAATAGTAAATGCACTGAACTTCCAACATCTTATTAATTTATGACTGCTCTCTTGTTTTATCTCCAGAATTTTTCCGCGAGCTGCTGGAGAATGCTGAGAAGTCCCTAAATGACATGTTTGTCCGGACCTATGGGATGCTGTATATGCAGAATTCGGAAGTGTTCCAGGACCTCTTCACAGAGCTGAAGAGATACTACACTGGGGGCAACGTAAACCTGGAGGAGATGCTCAATGATTTCTGGGCTCGGCTCCTGGAACGGATGTTCCAGCTGATAAACCCTCAGTATCACTTCAGTGAGGACTACCTGGAATGTGTGAGCAAATACACAGACCAGCTGAAGCCCTTTGGAGATGTGCCCCGGAAGCTGAAGATTCAGGTCACTCGCGCCTTCATTGCTGCCCGCACCTTCGTCCAGGGCCTCACCGTGGGCAGAGAAGTGGCGAACCGAGTTTCTAAGGTATTTGAGTATGTTCCGTGTCTCTAGCTGTTCTTCCCTTTTATTCTGGCTTTCAAACAAATGTTTACAAAAGAAATTAAGGTGAACGTTGTTACTTGTGTTGGTCCTCGCTCTTAGAGGAATCAGCTAAACACACAAGTTTAATTCTATTTTTGTTTTTCCCCTTGCTTTGTGTGAGAGAAGACAGAATTCCAAGCATCTTCTCTGTGGCTCAGGGAACAATGTCCATATTTGTCAGCAACAGAGTAGTTTTCATCAGGAACAATGTGATGACAGTTGGTTTAGAACTGTGATCACTTGACGTTTCTGATAAGAATTTTACGGGTTATAAATACTCATGAAACAGCCCATTCAGGGCTTCTGGTCCTTTGGGAATGAAAATGGCCTTCTTGATCAGAACTGCAAGTAGAGACAAGCTGCTGTTCAGGACAGTGGCACCTGCCAGTTCTTCTTTAGAATGTTTGTCAAGGTGGCTGAATTCCCTAATAGTAGAGGAGGAACTCTTTGATGACACCTATAGAACTGGAGGAGAACTCACAAATACAAAATATAGATTCTGGCAGATAATTCCTTTTGTTATCCATTATCTGTACAATTCCATGCTGTGAGTTGTGCTGGGCTTACGAAAAGGATAAATCATAAGCTCACTGTGGGGCCTTTCCTGGAGGATAACATCTCTAAACCTTAGATGCGAGAGATCATTTTCCACTGCTGTCTTTAAACACTGAACATTTCCTGTGCAGAGGATATCTGCCTTTGTTTAGGTTTGTCCTTGACATTTAATTGCTCTTATGAGATGGGCCTTCCCATTTATGAGGTCAGTCCTGCAAAGAAACTAACAGACGATTACTATAAGTAAAGTAAAAAAAATACATAAAAAGGATCTGGCATTATGTCACCTAAGGAAGGTCATATTTGTACAAAGATTATTGCCAAATAGTACTTTTTATTAGAGAGCTGTGCCAAAGAACCACAGTGTTTTTCATAACTATTGGCACTACCCTGCTGTATTTCTTTTTTTTCTCCCCACTTTGATCTCAATATTTATATCTTGGCATAAAGATCCTACATACCCTTATAAGTGTTTCTCTATGGAATTATTTTTAAAATTCATAGACTATATTGTTAAGTGATCAGTTCCTGAAACATTTGAGCATATGGAAAGGTTATTTGCAAAAGACTCTTAAAGGGGATAGTTACAAGTGATTTAATGATGTAAAGAGTATGTAATTCAGATGTTCAGTACAATACTTTTTATTGAATAGCAGTAATGATTTCTATGTCAGAGGACACATATTAATAAGTAACTGGCCTTGTGGAATAGCAAGAGGAAATACGATCATGTGAGAACAATCTGTAAACTATAAATTAATACCAACTAAATAGATATTCTATAATTTCTTGAGCAGATACATTTTGTTGTAAAGAACAATTTAGTTACATTAACTTGGTAAGTCACACTAAAGATGAATTGAGTCCCAAAAGCTTCAGATTGAAGCCTTTGTTCTTGGTGAAAAATGAAACAGAGCATCACCTGTGGTAGTGCATCCCTGATTCTAGCACTTGGAAGGCTGAAGCAGGAAAATCCAGAAAGATTTCCAGACCACCCAGGGCTATAGGGTAAGTTCAAGGGAGACCTAGAGTATACATCAAGATCCTGTCTCAAGCTCCAAAGAGAAACATGAAGTGAGAAAATCAAACCATAGATTGATGTAAGTAATATTGCTTCTGGGAGTAATTATTTTGCCTGAGTCTAAATCACAGTTAGATCCATGATACCATGAACTGAGGAATACCAGTGACCCAAGGAAGTATGCGTTTTCTAGCAAAGTATCTAAAAAGCCACAAGATCCATTGCAGCTGACCATTTCCCTGCATCTCGGAGGATGCCATTAATAATTTTCAAGGGTGGCCACCCCACTTTGATCATTCCTTCATCATTGAGCTCTTTGTCTACCGTCATCTAACATAATCTAAATAGTGGAGTTTAACATCATGGCCCAACTACGACTACATGATGACCTTTAGTCCTTTCCCAGAAGTGCTGAGGAAGGGACTTGGGAACACTATATTCTTGGTTTGCCCACTCCCTTCATTTACATAGCAACAGTTTTTAGTATGGGTTTGTGGGTTACATAAGCTTGAAACTTAATTGATTTATGTAATTGTGACTTGGCTGACCTGAGGCCCATTAGCCCTAATCAAATAATCTCATGAATCCCATGCAGATATCTGAGTACTGCCTTTTGGAGAAAGAAAGGAGGGAGGAGCAGAGAAGGAAGTAGGAAAGAAGGGAAGGAGGAAAGGAAGGAGAGAGAGAAAACAAGAAAGGAAAGAAAAAGGAGAGAGCCTCAGAGTAAAAGAAGCAGAGAAATTTTTCTTAATTCATAGCTCTAATATTTCAGTATTCCCTATTGAGGTTTCTCACTTAATGATTACCAGATGGTCTATACCTAAGTAAACTAAAACAAACTTACTAGCCCTGTGATTTTTAGCACCCAGACTACTTTGTAATAATTATAAAATATTACATGTATGAAGAGTGAAGGAAAAAAAGGCCCTGGGAAGCCGAAGCCTTCTTGTGATCTATTAATTGACTGCTTTAGAATTGGTGAAATGAAGCCCAAAGGAAGAATTCAAGGCAAAATTCTCACTTTCAGATCAGCAAAGCAGACTCTTCTCTGACATCGTGTTTTATGGATTTTGTTCCCTTTGGTTTTTCTGTTCATTGACAGTAACTTGAAGTCTTTGAAGGCATCATTAATAGTTTCTAATTAATTGTTTTGACTAGAAAATTTAAGTCTTTGGCAAAACACAGAAGTTGACACAAATGTTTTGATGTAATGTTGCAGGGAATTTCCTTAGAAGAAAAAGGAAGACTGAATTTGTAAGAATCAACAGAATTATTTATAACACTTACATTTTCCATTTTCTGGGTATACAGTATGACTTTTTCTAACCTTTAAAAGGGGCAAATGCACTGGAAGTGACCATAACTCAAGATCTGACTCAGAAGTGTTGTATGTTTGTGGAATGAATATCTCTGTTTAGTGAGCCAGGATTCATTTTCTGTGTGAATTACCATTTTTGAGCATGCCAAGTGTTGGCAAAATGTGGCGTATTGGGAAATTTAAAACTTTGCCAGTCAAAGTATAAATTGATGCCCTTACCTTAGAAAATTATTTGCAAATTCTTGTATTGTTGAAGACATACATACCCTAATACTAGTTCTTTCCTCGTAGACCAGGTTACACATGCATACAGATAGACATATAGAAGAATGTTTATAGCAACAATTTTTACCATAACAAAAAAGTGAAATATTGTACATATCCCATCTGCATAAACAGTAATCTCTGCCAGGTAAGGTTGTGCATGGAAGCACTGTAATCACAATAATCTGGGAAACTGAGGCAAGAGGACTGCGAGTTAAATGTAGCCTGGGCAACTTAGTGAGACAATGTCATAAAAAGTTAAAAAGGGGTGGGAATACAGCTTAGTGCAGAGGCCCTGGATTCAATCCCCAATATCACAATATATAAATGAATGAATGAATATTAAAGAGGTGATTTCTTCATACCATGAAATCCTGTGAAGTTTAAGAATCAAGTGTACTAGTCATACGTATAGGTGAATCATAAAAATCTTACTAGAGGATACATACCTCAGATCACTGAAGAATGTATACTATTGTAGAAAGTTCAGAAACTGAAACTATGTGATATATTATTTAGAAATAAAAGGATATCTAGTAAGACTGATGAAAATTTAGAGACTGATAAGCATGACGATCAGACAGTAGTTTCCTCTGGAGATGAAGTTTGGAATACAAGCAAGGTGCTTCCAAAGCTGTTGATAGTGGGGAATTTCTCAGTTCAGGTACTAGGTTGAGGAGGGGCAGATCCACCACCAGGTTCTTTTCATCTCCTGTCCTGATCATACGTGTTCATCCTCCTGTATAGTCACCAAATTGTGTTTTGTATTAATCTTTTAAACATATTTGCTTTTGGTTCTTGAGTCACTCTCAGCTGTTTCTAAAACTGTTTGATATTTTTGTATTTGCTCACCAGCCTATGGCAAGTACACGTAAAAGGCAGAAGTCTACCACAAACATAACCAGTAGTACAATATATTTGAATAATGGATCCATGCTATTGTTTTTTATCATAGATATTCTCTTAGAACACAATTCTCATTCTTTCACACTCACCCATTAGCGAATAAAAGCAATGCCAAAAGCCATGCTGAGAGGCTCAGGCATTCTGAAGACCAGAAAGAGCATTTCAAGAAGGGTTCTGAAAAAGTTGTCCACTTAAGCCACGCTTCAATTATTCATTATGGTGGCAATTGCAGAAAGGATCTTAACGTCATTACTGGTCACCATGAAGGCGTTGAGACAAGGAAGATGTGATTGATTCCTATCTTTTTGCTTTACTAAAGCTGATTTCTATACAGGAACAAGAGCTGTAATTTGTGTTGAGACAGAATTTTAACTGGGCGTGAGGCTGCACACTGGTCATCTCAGCACTCTGGGAGGCTGAGGCAGAAGGATTACAAGTTCTTGTCCAGCCTGAGCAATTTAGTGACTTAAAATCTGCCTCAAAATTAAAAAAAGAAATAATAAAATGTGTGGTTGTGGCTCCATGTGAAGGCTCTGTGTTCAGCTTCCCGTATTGCCACCAAAAAAGAGATGGGGATGGGATAGGTGGAGACTGTCACTTCAACTATTCAGGTCGTTTCATTGTTTTAATTCAGAAAAATCTAGCATGTAGTAGATTGGAATCCATATAATTTGAGACACTGACAAATAGTGTCATTTGCCTGAATATATGTCTATAACTCTGTAATGTTTGTTTCTTTTGGACATGACTTTTCTTTTCCCGTCTTTTTGAGCCTGTGTATTACTATGCAGTTCAGGTTGGCCATTATCTCACTCTGTAGTCCAGGCTGTTCTCAAACTTGCAAGGATCCTCCCGCCTCAGCCTCCCAAGTACTGGGGT